AGAGATTTCTGAGTCAGTCAGGCTTTACTAGCGTAGCAATTCGCTACAAATTGGTGACCCTGACCATGTAGTAATTTGAGCAAGAAATAGTATTAGTTCAAATTGGTACTTAATGATTCAATAGAAGAGATCGGGTTAAAGACATTGGAAGAATTTTCAAAACAATCTAAAGGCTAAATTTTCAATATTGAAATCTGGATGAGAAATTTCACAGGGAATCCGTTGAGTTAATGCTTTCTATGTCATGCCTTTGAGATACCTTTATCCTAAGATCAGGCACCTACAGTAAAGTTATATATATATATATATATATATATATATATCTTGCTGATAACAGCCGTCTTTTTCCTTGGTTTTGCTACTGCAGTAAAGGTTGAAGTTGTGTTTTGAGGAATGTTTGGAGACCCACTCTGTTATCTAGTTGTTTGTCTTCCTTCTAAAGACCTCCATTCTTGCTACACCTGGATTGATAACTAGCCATCCCCTCCAAATGTGCTCACATTCTAATTAGAGTTTTCAGCCTCAGACCTCGCATTTTTTCATGATTTACAACTTGTGTTCCACCCATGATAAGGTATGGTTCATGATCTGTATCTTTTTCTCATTTAAGTCCCCATATCAATCATATAGTTCCACTTTGTTAGGCCTGTCCATTTTCACGCATTCAGTGAATTGAGGGGACTACAAACTATCCGCCAACCATAGAACCAAGTGACGCATTTACTCCCCATGAATAGTAGACTTGAATGCGATCTTTTCGAGAGGACAGAGACCAATTAAGTTGAATCAAGTCAAACCTACAACCTAGTGTATCGCCGCTTGTTTAGTTTAATAAAACTTTAAACCGCAACCAACCCAACCCAAGATATAACAAATTCAACCAACGTGCCTGTTCACTATATGTGCACCGGCGATAGACGAACCTATACCGCCTAACTTGACGGACACATGCGTTGACCAACAAGCTACTGAATGTACACATACAAGATACGAAAAAAATACACCACCATAGATTGAGGGGTAGCCATCAAAAACTTGATAAATGAACGAAGCATAGGAAAATAGTAAGGGCAAACTGATTTTTTACATGCAATATACAGTCTAAGAATCATACAAAGTATGTACACGCATAAATGGTTAGATGGAGAACTACGGGTCATCAAGTAGATCTTGTTCTGCCCAGGCAATGCCCCGTGAGGAAAGGATCTCCTTCTTGCGTTTATTGGCCTCCCTACGTTCGGCAATCATTTCATTCTGCAAACGAAAGATTTCATCTTCAGAAACCTTCTCAAAAGGAGGTGGAGGGGTTTCATCTTCTTTCTGAAATGGGAAAACAATTAAAATTTACAAAGACAGACAAAATTATTATCTAGGAAAATCATACCATTTCACCGATGAGTGCAATGTTTTCACCCTTTATCATTAATATACCGTGGTGAACATCGGAGTACTTTTCACCAACAAATATTCTTTCACATGCTTGGCTGAGAAGAATCGTACCTGCACAACTCGTTTATAAATTTCGTACTTACCGAACTGATCAATGCTCCTCAGGTTTCCGATATAACATTTGTGACCGCGCAATTTCACCAACATGCGTTCTAAACTGTTTAATTTAAATTAACATCTTACTTCCAAGATCATTAATTAGGCTTGCAGAACCTGGAAAATTTGTAAGACAGTGATCAAAATCGCCGAGAGGTTGCATTCTCAGGCTAGTTTACGATAAAAAGGGCCGGACTTTGGCTCAAAACTATAACCTTGAGATTTCACATATTTGTTAACATACATTCCTATTTATTATTGCCTAAGAATTTACTTATCATTTATTTTGTAAAGAGGCATTAAAATAAAAAAAACATAAAAAAGTTTTGAATTTTTTATATTGTGTATATTACTTATAAGATGATTCATTTAAAATAGAACCAAAGCAGCATTTAATTTATGATGATCATTTTAGCTTTAAAAAATAGAAAATAATGTCGTGTTCTTATCCTCTTGTTTGGTACATTGACATCCTTTGCAATGTTATTATAATTCCATTTGTGTTCGAAATTTCACATTTTTTACACAATGGGAACAATTTAACTAAGTTTAAATTATCACAAAATAAATGCTAAAAACATTGTTTAAATTTTGATAGCACTTTTGAAGTAGGGAGTAGTGGGCACGTCACTACTACGCGATGTGTGCACGCCATCATCCTGATTCTATGTGTGCACAACCAACAGCCAATCAGAAGCCTTCTTTTATTTTGCTGAATCCGCCATGATAAATGATTAGTATCATCTTGTATATCACCTTTCACACCGCAACTTTTGTGAATAACGTGTTTCTGGTAATGCGTACTTTCCCCTAGATCTTGTAGTATCATAGTTAATATCGGGATACTTACCGAATAGGAGATCTGCTATAGAGGTTTCTGAGAGGAGTCATTAAAGCTAAACCCCATAAATTAGCTTATAAATAAATCTTTGATCCTTGTTTGGCATGAAGCCATTCCTTTTCCAATGTTTCATATCTTTCTTCGCCAGTGAGAGATCACAAAGTAGTCCTCAAGCTTTCATCTGTTAATACCATTGCCGCAAAATTGATTGCACTAATTTGATGAGTGTGATCTACAAAAAACATAGATCAAATCAATATTATATCTACACATCCATTGACGCGGGGACATTCGCCAGTATGAGCACTTATAAGTATAACAGTGATGTCATCAGTACCACCAATGGGTAAGCATCCCATATCTGGTGTTTGTGGTTTGGATGAACTTGTTGAAATAGCAAGACTTCTAGTCTTCATTTGTATCCTATGCTAGAGTTCGTGCTTGGTGAAAATTTTTCCAAACCACTTTCCCAATTTCTACTTAACCACTTTTGAGTCCTATTGCAAGAGCTGTAGATCGATTGGTTACGGGGATTTGGTTCATCTCCGTAATACGTACTAAAGCTAAGTTCATTATTAATTAGATCTAATTTGATTATTTACTTTAAATGAATCTGGTCATTCAACAAGATCTGTTAAGATTTTTTTGTTAATTTCTTTCTATTCACGATGTTACAATTTTCATTATTGAAACCTGTTTGAAATTAAAATTCACTTCACACCGTGGACAAGCTTCAAAGAAAAAGTATATCTTAAAGCACCTTTTAATTCTTAAGATATCTAGGCATATAAAGAAAGCTCACATATGAAGTAGATAATACGTATTAAATTTAATGGGAACGAATACATACTAAAAATCTTTTACCTCTGTGGGTCTGTTTTGCCACTCATATAAAACTTCCTTTTCCAGAATAAATGCCCTATTCAATATGCGATCTTTCATTTAGCAATCTGTTGTTCATTGCTTTGAAGGATTTCAATTCGTGTGCTCGACATTAGGGAATGCTCAGAGAACTACAAATAGCCTTCCAACGATTCGCACCCTTTATCTGACTTTCCCACGTTTGAGTTGCCTAAACAGTGTATTAAAGAAATAATGTGTATTTAATAAAAGCCTACCTGTGAAAACCATTCTTGACCGTCGCTGTCAAGATTTTAAATAATACATTCCTTTAAAGCTTAATGAAAGCCGTTCGCAGATTCGCTGAGCCTTCCCGTAAATCTCCGATCTTTTACACCTTGTTCCGTGTCAGGTGTTTTCTCTCTGTCCATTTTCACTCAAAACGTCTTAAGAAAGGCTACCTAAATTGAAAGAAAATGGTGTGATTAGTTTGCAAACGTTATCTTGCTAAATGGATAGTGGTTGAAATTTTTATTGATTAAAATAACTTAACTTACCTTACGTAGGCTTTTCCTAATCGTTTTAATGACCGATATTCAAATGTTAATTTATATGCATTTACGATCTCAGTTTGGGCTATTTAGGATTATAGTTCGAATTTTGTTCCAGGTAGGGCAAATGCCTAAATATCTGAGACCAGGTTAATTTTAACACTTCAATAGCACTTACAGAATCCTGAACACAGGACTCGTTCACAAAGTTTATTTATTTATTTATTTCAAATGGCAGGCTTT